GCAATGAAGCAAATCATGAGAGGCTCTGATACAGACAGAAGCCTGAATGCTTGTTGGAACTGCTTCTCTGTGCCAGACTATTTTTAATGCAAGTTTATGCAGCTCTCCCCCACTTAAAAAATAAGCCTACTCTGAACCCAATTATGTTTTTTGCCATTTCAACTCACTACCCTATGTCTGCATCTGTGTGTATGTGTGTGTGTTCATGTTTCCTTTTTAAATTCTCTAGAGATGTAGGAATATAGAGAAGAACATTTAAAAAGGAAACATGGACACACACACACACATACATGTTTGGCTTTCTGTGAATATAATTCTGATCTAGAGATCCCTTTGCTATTCTAGCCCCACCCCCATGCCTCTTTAGTGGCTACTAATATAGTATCCCATTAAAGGTTCACAAGAACAGGTTCTACTTGTTTTAAGAAAGGGAGATAACAGTATATATAAAATTTGTATATGCTTGGAGTATTTTCAGAGCAAGTACATAAGACATTGGAAATAATCATTGCTCTGCAGAGGGACCTGGAGGAATAAAGGAGCACAAATTATAAGAAGACATTCTTTTTACGATTTTACTTTTTTTAATACCATTTGACTTTATATCATGTGCAAATATTACCTTAAAAAATTACACAAGGAGGGTGGGAACTACCAATTAATATCTGCTGGATATTGGCTGTATTTCAGTCACTATTAACTGTTGTTTTAATATAAAAATCTCCTTTAATCTTTATAACAGCCGTATGTCAAGCCCTATTTTACAAAATGGAAATAGACTCAGGTGATTTCAGTCATTGGGTTTGCACAGCTGACAAATGGCAACATGAACGCGGCTCTTTCTGATTTCCAAAGCCATGCTCAGTCCCCTAGACTATGTTGCCTGGACTTCAAGTCTTTTGAAAGCATCCACATTTGTAGCTTTGAGGCTGCTTTTGAAAATCCTGCAGGAAGGCTGTCAAACCCCATCACATGGTTCACACCAGCACCTGAATGACCCTCCCTCGACCTGCTCGAGGACGCTGTTTCGGCGTCCCTCCCCTGGAAACCGGGCCTCCCCGAGGGCTGCCTGCGAGTCCTGTGCTGGCGCTCGGGGGGCTCTCCCCAAAGGTGGGAATCGCACCTGCTCTCATGCTCCCTTCAGTAAACCATGCTGGCTGAATGGGAGGCTTTCAGGCAGAAATGAAGTGGCTGGTCAATATTCTCAATCTCCTAAGCAAGGGATTCTTCATTTATTGAACAATTATCTTTTGAATATATATTCTTCTTAAGTGTAAATGTTATAGGAAGCAAGAACAAGGTCCTTGTTCCCATGGAGTGTTCACCCTGGTATGGAGAGACAAGCAATAAACAAACAAGCAGGCAAATAAGCAAAACATCAGATAATAAGTATGTTGAAGAAAATTAAAATAGACTGTTGTGATAGAGTGACTGGGTGGCTACTTTATCTTGGGTCAACAGGGGACCTTCTGAGGAGATAGTATTTATCTAAATGGCAAGAATGACAAATATACCTTAGGAACTATTGTTCTTAAAAACAATAGCTCTCATCCGATTTTCATTCTAGTCACCTATTTATTTACAATGTGAATTTGTAATCCCAGAAGTTAGAGCTAGAAAGCGCCATATAAATGGTCTTATTCTCATGCCATGATTTTAGACACAAGAAAGATCTAGAAAACGGAAAAGGACAGGTCACACAGCTAGTTAGAAGCATGACTGAGAGTCCAGTTTCCTAGCCCATGTTTCTTCTACAAATCTAGGTTATCTTCTGCTTATTTTCTTTTTTTTTCCTTTTCACTGAATTTACTGGGGTAACACTGGTTAACAAAATTATACAGGTTTCAGGCACCCAACTCCAGAACACATCATCTGTGCACTGGATCGTGTGTTCACCACCCCAAGTCATCTTCCCCGTGTCCGTTTCCTCGCTGTACATTCCTGCCCTGGTACCTGCCTCTCTGGAGTCCACGGGCACTAAATCTTCCCTGGGCAAGGGGGTACCTTCTGGCGTGGTATTTGGGAGTCCTGAGACTGCAGATGGGCGCTGGGAGCCAGGGCAGCCGTGGAAGAAAAGGCGTAACTCCCCACAGTGCAATTTCACCACATCTCAGACATGCCCTGGAGCTGTGCCTGGCTCCTGCCACCCATTGTTAGCCACGAGGGAGCCCTAACAAGTTTGGGAGCTGTGCGGCTCTTTGAATCCAGTGAGCACTAAAGATTGCTTTTCAGCAGTGCTCCCTGACTTAACCAAGTGAATACGAATATGCTCTATTCTGTGATTTCAACCCCTCCCAAAATGCTTTACAAAAAGATTAACCATATAATTTCTTTAAATAATAAGTTCTCTTAGCATATTAGAAAATTCAACCTACATAAAGATCTTATTTACCCCCTACCAAAAAAAAAAAAAAAAAAGAAAGAAAGAAAAAAAAAAAGAACAGCTACTGTATCAAGGAGGAGAATAGCATAAACTTGGATTCTTAATGATGGATTTTAGACTCTTCTATTATGTAATGGTTCCCATTCATTTGCCACATATTTATTGAACTGCTCTATATAATACACTCTTCCAGGTCGCTGTGAGGATACAACAATAAATGACACATCCTCTGTCCTCTGGAAGCATGCATACACACAGTTCTAACACAGGCAGATGTGATTAGTGCCACAACAGAGCTGGGGACAATAGCTACAGGAGACAAGGCAGTGAGAGATTAAATCTCAGTCAAAGATCAGGAAAGGAGACAGCAACCATTTAATTGGGTTTCAAAGGAGGGTTGTGATTTGTATAATTGTACAATTCATCCCAGGAAAAAAGAAACCTCATGACATGCTGTACATACAGGGGCACGCTCTCAGAACAGAGAGGAATCCAGTATAGCTTTACGGTGACACAGGAAGTTAAGAGAAGAGAAAGACAGGAGCTAGAAAGTATATCAGAGCCTTGAATGCAAGGATAGATAAACTTTGGACCCAATCTGTAAACCATAGAAGCTTTGAGTGGGTTTGGGGCAGAAAAAGAACAAAATCAGAATTGTGCCTTAGGAAGCCTGTTCTATAGCCATGTTTAAGACTAATCTGAATGGACAAAGACAGGCATCAAGGACAGGGAGGCACACCATATTGTTCTTTGGTCATATAAAAAGTAAGGAATAAATTCAAGAGCTAGAATAAAGGTAGAATTGATAAGGAAAGAGGGGATCCAAATTCTAGGGAGGAGGATCCAGTTTTGGAAAGGAATGGGGACCAGGCCTCAGATTCCAGCCTAAGGAAGAGAAGTCAGCCTGAGAGTATGTGGTGTCTCTTTAAGAAAGGACAGTTTGAGATGCCCCAACCCTGAGACAGTAATCACGAGTCTACCGCACAAAAGCTACACCAGCTGGACGTCTTCTGATCCATGCATGAGGCCTCAGTTATTAATAACTTCTCTTCTGGAGATATACAGAAGTGCCTGTTTTACATGAGGGTCCCAGCAAATGTCTTAAATTATTTTGTCTTTGCAGCAGCAGTGAAGAGCAGCTTGATTGGGATGTAGAGCAGGAGCCAAGTGAACAATCATTTCTGAACAAATGATAACTCAGAGGAAGGGGGACAACTTTAATCAAGAACACCAGGCATAATGCAAGCCTTGTACTGTGTCCTGAAGTGAGGAACAGCATGATATATAGAGGCCTTTCAATTTGAAGAACAAGGTCTTAGGTTCCACTACTGGAGCCACATAGGCCTAATTCCACAGGTGAGCAGTCACATACTACCTGCCCAGGGTTCTCTGTGGCAATACTGTGATTTTCAAGTTTATCTCTGGTCTCTTTTTCTGGCTCCTCTCTCTAGAAACGTATAGTTTGGTTTCCATCCTAGTCAGAGTCACGCTGACTTCTGAAAGCCTGTTCTCAGCCAATTGGCCTATGGTGTCTGTAGAAATTTCCTTAAATCAATGTTTCCCAACATGTTTCACAGACTATGAATTTCAGGAACAAAGAGGTGTTATGCTAAAATAATTTTAGGAATTGCCAAATTGAATAAGATTAAATGTTTCTTTGCTGTAAGATACCTCTGAACTTTCAAATGCTAATATGTTCTGAGAATCTCTCAGAATGAGAAAGTGTAGGTAGCACCTCTCAACCTTATTTATCTGCAGAACCATTTTTCAGCAAAGCAATTTAAGGGACCACTGCCCTCCAGAACACACTGAGAAATATGAGCGATGACATTATTCTCAGGAACATTCATATTTAATCATTATCCCTAGGAATCAGGGATAATAATAACAGATAATACCTATGGAGTGTTTACTATGTGCCAGGCACCTTTTTAAGTCTTTTACGTGTAATAATATATTGAATCTTCGTAACAACCCTGTGATATTGGTGCTATTATTATTCCCATTTTACAGATGAAGAATTGGAGGCACAAGTAGTTAAGAGATCTGTACAATGTCCTAAGTAGACCAGTTAGTGAGTAGGGGAACTGGGAATTAAACCTAGGCAGTCTGGTGCCTACAGAAATTAATTCCTAATGGTAGCATTTCAGACACTGTGATCAGCTGGCAGTGGGAGAGATCCTAAGAAGAACCTGGCATGACAAGAAGAACCTGTCATTTAATCACAGTAAATCCATACCTGCCTGCTCATAAATTAGGCCTCCCCAGTGTACCATCTAGGACATATCTTCTAAATTGTACCACTGATACAGTTTATTCTCCAAATTGTGTTATGTTATACATGTGTAATCTTCCATTAAAATAAAGTTAAGATTCAGACAACACCATAACCAATAAAAATGGCAATATATAAAGAAATAATCTCTTGATTAACCAATGTAGCAAGAAAATAAAGATACGAATTTGAGAAATGGTTTCTCCTGTGTTCTCAAAGTATTGGTTTCTTGCTCCCTACCTCAGAGACCAAAACCAAGAAATTGTTTTCATTTAATATATTGCAAAATTTTACACCCCTACCCCTCCAGTGGGCTCAAGAATTGCCAAAGACATGTCCTACCCTCTCCCACTTCCTCTCCTTGTTCAGAAGGATTATCACCAGTTTCGGGTGCATCTGGTAGCCATCTTCACTGAAGGACAGATTCCTCCCCTCAAAAGTGACATTGATCAGATACCTGTGAAGACAAAACAAAAGAAGGGTTAAAAATAGGAAGAAGGTGTGTAGAGAACAAGATAGCTAAGAAGATAGAAAGAAAAGAGGATGGAGATAGACACCAAGATAGGTACACAGATACCATGTGAAATGTGGCATTCCTTGGGCTCCCATTTGATTACTTGGTAAAGCCATCAAGTTTTCACATAATAGGAATAACATGAGAATATAATATAATAATTTAAAATAAGGGCATGAAGTATGAGTTTACCTATAGTTACGACTGAGCAAATTACTTAGCCTTTTGACCATTACACTTTTTCTCTATCTACAAAAAACGGAGTCATAAAGAAACCTACTTTATTAGATTTATAAGGCTTAAATGACATCACTTGCCATGGGGCCTGGTGCATAGTGAACACTCACTGTATTAACAATTTTTTTTTTTTTTTTTGGATAAAAGGGCAGAGGTGATAGAAACAAGAAAGGAAAGTGGGAGTGTACCAAAACAACTTTCTGCTAAGAAAGGTGGCCTATTGGAGCATAGGATCCCTCCCCACTCCCAGAGACATGCACAGGCTTTTAATCTCTTTCTAAGATCCTTCTCAGCCCATACTTCCAGGAGGTGCAAGATGAGTCCGGCTGTCAGGGATCTGGTTCCACAAGATGCATTCTGGGAACCATGGTTATTGTCCTGTGTAAAGTGAACAGAAAATATTGAGGGGAGAGAGGGAATGAGGGAGAAGCATTTCACAGAGAGGTCTAGGTATAAGCTCATAAATTAGCAGAAACTCTGGAAATAACTAGAGTCAGACCAATGAAATTGTCTTCCTCCACAACACGTATACCTCCTGCTCACCCCATCTACCCTGTTGGCCGCTCTGATCTAATGAAGATCTCCCTCATTGGGAATTCCCACAGGCATGCTCATTACAACCAAATTAGTGCAACTGTGCTGATGGTAATTAATGTCGCTTTACCATAATGGCCTAAGGAATCAATACTGATTAGCTCTGTGTCCACAAGACATGCTACTCAGGAGCCTCTGGTCTGATGCTACTGTGAGATGTGTCTCTGATAAGAATCAGAAAGGGTATCTTGTCATTGCCATGCAGGTTCTGAAGGGCTGAGATGTGACCAACAATGATTTCCTAATACTGTATTAAAGGGGAAAAGAAGAAAGCATCAAGAGGCAGCTTAAAAGTTCCTCTTTTAAGTCTTCTCGTTCAATGAAACTGTGAGACTCTTCTTTCATTCTTTCAGGTAACTTTAGGTTAAGCAACACGGTTGGTTGGATGTATATCCTTTAGGCAATGATAAGGATGACTAGGCATCATGAGCCAAACTCTCATGGGCCACTTCTCACTTCTAGGGCTGCCTGGGATTTTTAAGCCTCTCATTCTCTGGTCTTGTGTAGCTTCACAAATGCAAACGTGAAGAACCCTGCAGATCTCAAAGAGTAGAGATTCCCAGAGTCTTAGAATTCAAAGAAACCTACATAATCAACTAGCTTACCACTTCTTGCAGGTTATAATTCCCCTCTACAGCGTCATAAAAATGGGCCTCTCAGCTCTTCTTGAATACTCCCGCTAATGGGGAGCTTATCACTCTACCCTCTACCCTCAAGGTAGCCATCTTATTGCTGCCCTGTAAGCCCTTGATCCTGGTCTCCTCTTTGGATATCATACAGTCTTGGTCTAATCCTTCTTTCACATGAGAACTCTTGAAGTATTTAAATGCATTTGTCATATATCCCTTATAAAATAAATTTTTATCTTTGAAGAAACCTTAATTAAGCTAATTTGAGCTGTATCTTTCAAATTCCTAGACAAGGAAACTGGAGCACAGAGAGGTCAAATTATTTTCCCAATATTCCCCAGCTAACTGGGAGCAGAAATAATGTTTTAAGCCACATTCCCAGTGTCCTCTCTACCATACCACCCTGATCCTCATATGCTGCATTTGGTTTAATATCTCCAGGTCCTTCATGTAGTTATCATATGCTATGGCTTCAATTTGCCTCCCATGATCCCCTTGGCTGCCCTCTCTGGACATTTCCAATTGATAAAACTGTAGCATCCCTAATTCAACCCAAATACTCCACAACGCATGCATCGGCTCCACATCCTGTACTGCTCTTCACCTCTCACTCAGTGATGCTTGCCCAAGCCCACGTCTTCTATAGTTTTCAACAACTTTAACACTCCAACCAAAGCCTTGTATCAGTCATTTCAAGGAACAAAATTACAAAAGCATAAAACAAAATATTTTAACCCAACCAGATTTTGAGTACCCAACATAATTAACTTGGAAAATATGTTGTTATTACAATACTGCATTGCTTAGAATGCTCATTTCTAGAAATCTTGAGAGAAGATTTATGAGACACACAAAAAAATTTAGTAGCATTTCTTTTTCAGAAGAAAGCAAGCAAGAATGGAGAGGGAGGAAGAAGGAAGAAAGAGGGAAGGAGAATGGGGAAAGAAAGAGGGAGGAAGGGAAGGATAATGGGGGAAGGGAGAAGGGAATGAGGAAGGGAAGAGGGAAGAAGAGATATAACTTACCTCCATGGCTCTGAGTAATTTTGATTTCATTTAAAATACCATTAAGAATATTTCAAAGAAAGTTTCCATTTCAGAAGATAATTATAAAAGTTCCAAAAATAATTGAATAGGCAGCATGAATGGAATAAGTATATAGCCTCTCAGAATGATTTCTTTGAAGGGGACAACATTGAATTCAGTGTACAAGTTGATAAATTCAAACTTTGAAAAAATAAACCACACTAATGGGCAAATGCAATTGCTCTATAGCTAAATTTCTTTGGTTACCTCTGCTCCAGATACTTCTGATTTTCCTTATAATTTTTTCTCTTTCTGGAATGTTCGCCTTCTTCCAGCTCTACAGGTTCATTTTATTTTAACTAGGCACTTCTCACATATTTTATACTTACCAAAAATATTTTTAAAATTTTATGACAATACAGAAAATAATCTTTTCAAAGTATCTTTTAATCGTTGATCTCCTTTAGCACTATTTAGATTAATCATTCACGTTGTGTTTTTACTGAGTAATTCTGACATGCTAATATTTAGCTATTAGTGAGGAGCTTACAAATGTCCACCTGCCTCAAGCAAGGATGCCCTTTGACTAGCAGAACAAACCATCCATTCATTGTTAATGAAAAGTGTGAAAAAATAATTAGGAGTGTCGTCACTTCTAGAGATGTGACCTTGGGGTCAGAACCTCAGTTTTTCCTCTTTAAAACAGAAACACCATTTTTACCTCCAATTTATCAAATAAGGCTATTGTGATTATCACATAAAAGAGTGAATAAAAAAACTATATAAAATATAATATAGTTATACAATAAAAAGATTCAGAAAAAGAATGATTTGAGTACTTGCCTCATTTTGGATCTCAGCAAAAGTGTGATTATCTTATTTAACAAAACTCAATTATCCATGATATACAATGGAGGAATGGAGAATGCCTTCCACATATGGAGGATAAACTAGGTCAAGTGGTGATATTAATCAATTTAACTTTCCATAAGACATGAAATTATCCAACTACTTTTGGATCTGACTGTACTTTGTCAATTTTGAATATTAATTAAAATCTTAAAGTTCCCATCTGTAAATCCTCAGTAAAGGATTAAACTATAAGATTAAGACACGTCGCAGCTATTTGTTTTACTTTAAATGTTATCCTCAACTATGCAATCAGAAAGCCTACCTTCAAGTGGCAGCCAAATTCAGAGGCTCTTCCTATAACATTCTAATCCCCTAAAAGCCCCATCAGGGTTTGGTACATAAAAAATAGTGCTTGATTTGTCTCTCGGATGTAGTTTGACCCACAAGAAACCTGGTGGTCTGTCTCATAAAGTTCTAATATTACAAAAATCTCAGATTGCTAGAACTGAAGAAAACTTAGAAACTATCTACTGAGAACTCTCACTTTAGAAAAGAGAAAAGAGGCCCTATGATGCCACTCAACTCTCCAAGGTAGCCTTGACCTGCCTATTCAGGGCTGGAGTTCAAGTCTTCTGATTTCCAGTTCAGTGTTCTTTTTGCTACATCACTAAGTGAACTGAAATCAGTTTTGCTGAGCCCCAGAGGTGCATTTTAGCAATCTCATGTCACTTATGCCCTGGACTATGTAGATCCCTAGTACAGACTGAATAAAATAAAATCCATCTCATTTCCTGCTTGACTCCTGCTTGTTAAGAGCCTCAGAACCCTGATGGGCTCAGAGCCAATATATTTGTTTTATATGGCCAAAGTCATACTCCAGTGGGTTTAATAGGATCAAGCTGAGGTAAAAAGCCCTTGTGTCTCTTTGACTTTGACCATGACTCTCAGAGCTCATCCACTGCACCACGTTGATACCTAAAGCAATGATTTAGCAGTATGCCCTGTGTGGGGGGCATCCCAAAGATCTCTGCCAGAATTTTCCCAGCAAACCAAGAGCCCTGGCACCATATTTTTGCCATCCATATTTTTACAAGGCACTAGATTTTTTTTTGTTAATGTGGTAATAAGATATATAAGTCACTTATCTCATCCAATCCTTTCATTTTCAGATAAAGCAGAGGATGCCCAGAAGGGTTTTGTGGTTTGCTGGAAACAGGATTCAGGTGTCCTGACCCCCCAGCACAGCACTCTGTCTACACACCACCGTGCCTCAAAAATGGCAAATTTTTTCATAGCTCTGAGTTTCATTCTCTAGTTATTAAGAGAAAAGTAATAAAGAAACAGTTCCAGGCAGGAGACTTGAGTTCTTGACCCTTGTTTATAATTTTCTAGCTCTGAAAATCTACAACTCTGTAACTGTGTCTTTGGTGTGTCACTTACCTTTTAAAGCCTCAGTGCTCGCATCTATAAAATACCATCTTACTTGCCCAAGGAGGCAAGTTCAGAGGTGCTGCTTTGCTCTCTGTTACTCCATTTCATCTGATTCATACTATGGCTACTACATTATTAGACTGCATCATCTGAATGGCAAAACCTCCAATTTTTC